GGTGAGAAGAGGGGTGAGAACAGCAGAGAGAATCATCCATTAAAGACATTTCATCCCAGCGCTGCTTGTCCCGAGCCCGTAACATCAGCAATGACCCCTCACACCCCCACCATGGACTGATCTCCCTGCTGTCCTCTGGGAAGAGACTTTGAAGCATCAGATGCAGGTCCAGCAGATTCTAGAACAGTTTCTTCCCCGCTGCCATTAGACTGCTGAATGTTATGTAAAATGGGTTATTTAAAAAAACGAAAAAAAAACAAAAAAAAAAACAGAATGTTAGAACTGTAACTATACAATCATATGTTTACATCACTTTCATCACAATGTTTTTATCACTGCTACTTACCTTATCAAGGCTGCACTTTTTGTTTACCCTTGTGTGTACAAAATAAAATCTGTCCAAGTCTAATTGATGCAAACAATTATTTAACTGCAGCCCAAGAAGCACCAGAGGCGCTTGTACCATTGTTTAAGAGCCATGAGTGACATCTTTCTAGTACAGCTAATGGAACTATTAATTAAAACCTCACTTCAAGTACGGTAATAAAAATGAATTAGAAGAGTATTCTGTAAACTACATACTCACAAAGCACAGTTTAATTAAATTATGAAGCTAATGATTTAACTTATACTCACTATTTTCCAGTACCTGCTGCACTTCAGATTTCAGAATATGAATCAGTGTATTATAGCTCCACATTTTTGTTGTAAAAAGAGAGGCGTAGCCAGAAATTTTTTATAAGGCTGGCCAGGCAATAACCAATGTACGCTGAGGGGTGGCCGAAAGTCGATAGGCGCCAGAACCTCAGGGCAAGCCAAAGATAAGACTAACTATACTTTCCTACAGCCTTTACTAAGAAATAGATGCATATATTTAAACATCCGTGCTTTCGAGATAAAAGATATAGTGGATAAAATACTTTCAGGTTTGAGTTGGATGTGTGTATATATCATGATAGTTGGATGTGTGTATATATCAGGATAGTTGGATGTGTGTATATATCAGGATAGTTGGATGTGTGTATATATCATGTTAGTTGGATGTGTGTAT